AAAAACTTGTTGGTGGCCGTCATGCTTACGTCATTAGTTTGTTTAAAAGTATCTTTCACTTGGTCAACCTGTGTCAATTCTTTACTGCAGACATGTGAACTAATTTGTAGACCGTAGCCCACTTGTAAAGATCCAGTTGTCTTGCACCTAATAGATAGCGTTCTTCTAGTTTCTTTCCTCTACGGTGTTCTATGGGGGAAAACAGGGTTCTAGTGGTTTCCGCGACTGGCTATATTGGCAGGCATATTGTGAATGCCTGCTTAGAACAGGGGCATCCAACGTTTGTGCAAGTTAGGCCGGAAGCTGCAAGGGATGTCGAGAAGGTGCAGCTTGTCCTGAGTTTTCGAAGAGCCGGAGCAAAGATATTTTGGGTAAGTCTTGCAACAGATCCGAAACATGTTTTGCCTCATGAATGTTTGTGTTTGCAGGTGTCTTTAGATGACCACGATGAGCTTGTGAAACTACTTAAACAAGTGGATGTTGTCATCTGCACAGTCTCTCATTTCCATCTGGATGAACAATACAAACTTATCAATGCGATTAAAGAGGCTGGAAACATCAAGGTAGATGAATCACATATCGGCCTCCCCAGTTCCTTGTTTCCTTTGTTATTGCAGAAGTTTTATCCTTCCGAGTTTGGAACGGACGTGGGCAGGAACCCACACATACCACCCGGAGATAAGTTATTCACCGACAAAGTAGCAATCAGAAGAACTGTGGAGGTTCTTGGAATACCTTACACTTATATTTCAGCAAATTGTTTCATGGGATTTTTTCTGGCCAGTTTTGCTCAACTAGAACCTCTGTCCAAGTTTTTTCCTCCAAGGGATAGCGTTGTAATCCATGGCGATGGAAACGTGAAGAGTAAGTGTAGAGTTTTGTGTCTTGAGCTCAATTCTGACTGGATTTCTTTAGTCGTTTGGATGGCTGAAAAGGATATAGGAACTTACACTGCGAAGAGTATCGATGATCCCCGAACAATGAACAGGACTGTCTACTTCCGGCCGCCCAAGAACGTATTGACAATGAATGAGCAGGTAGCCATATGGGAAAGCAAAATAGGCAAAGCACTGAAGAAGAGCTACTTGAGTGAGAAGGAGCTATTTGCCAAGTACATACAAGGTAACGTTCAAGAGTAGCACGCTAGTCATGCTCAACACGCTTGTGAATGAACGGCAGATGAGAAGCACTCTTGGTTGACCAGAGCAGCAGCAGCACACATGTACGAGATATTTCATAGAGGAGATTTATATTTCGACTTTGGACCAGATGATTTGGAAGCTTCTGTTCTGTATCCAGAGGTGGAGTATACCACAGCGGAATCGTATCTTGAGTTATTCGTATGAACCAATCTATAGTTCAAAAATTGCAATTCTCATCTGATTTAAATCGTGTTATATTATATTTACGAAAAGTTGAAGTGTGCTATTTCAACAACCGTGTGACTAATTTCTTGTCCTTCTTTCATCTCAGCAATTTCTGTATATTAATGTCTTACAGCTCTGATATACTAATAATCTTAGCACTACAAGCTTCCTGGCATAAAACAATCATACTGTGAGGATAAAATTAGAAGAACCAGAAGACAGAAGATGGGATTTTAATACATCAAGTAAAACTTCTGGTTTGAAGTTTCTATAAATAGAATAATATTAAATATTATGAAGGAAGGAGATTTTAGAATATTGTGGGTGACCATTTTAACAAGGCTATGAAGCAAGAGGTTTGCAAAGCAATGAAGCAGGAGGTTATTGATGGGCATTTTGATTCCATTCGTAATTACATCAGGATGATGTGAGGGATTTAATAGTTATAACTATTGTGGAAGCTATAGAAAGCCAAATTCATGAAGAAGGTTGCTGCGGTTTTGGTTGGCAGAAGACTTGCATTCTATATGCTTATATGTTAAGCATATGCAATATTATAACCTATATTACTTGTTTAAGACATATTATGATGCATATGCTGGCATTATATATTTGATAAATTGGCAATGGATGATATTGCCCTTCAAGTCGTCTGAAGAAAAATAACATTTATATTGAAGACATTAGATGACAGAAATGGGTTTTCCATTGCTGATGATGCATGAGATTAGCTCATCAACACTCTATATGAGCCAGTTTTTAGTTGATTTGAGCAGTGTTATATACAATTCAAAGTAGTTTTGGTAACTCAATATAAATAAATATAAATAAAATCATAAAAATATACTCTATAGTTTACAAAAAGGTTTATTTGATGAGGTTACTTTTATATAAATAATAATTTTCATTATAAATATTAAATACTTTAAAAAATAAAAACTTATATGCTTCTATGTTATGAGCTCCAAATGTAAAGCTATAATGCTATATATTATTATTAGTATATTGGGATTTTGATAGCCATTAAATTAATTTCAATTTGGACCACTCACTCTAAACTAAGGATTTTGAGCTAATCCTGATTTGATGTGGATAATCAAACTAAATTTAATCTAAAGCAAAGAAAAATAATATTTTGAGAAATATATTAAATGTGATATGATTGATACTTGACTTTTTATATAGTTGAATGTTTAAACTTTTAACCCTTCTAAATTCTAATTTTAACATTTACTCATTACTATATATATATATATATATATATATATATATATATATATATATATATATAAAAGAGAGAGAGAGAGAGAGATTCCGCATTAAAGAAAGAGAATGTTGGATTATTACAATTGCAAGTGCTACTTTCCTAGTGGAAATGGGTTCTTTGTTAGTATTATATAGTTTAGTCAAATAATTCACAACTAGTAATTGATATATTGCTCAAGTAAATTTTTAATAATACTTAAATATAATACTCTTAAGTCAATCTTGGTGAAGTATCAACCTTGCAAGCCAATACAACATGTCATCAGTTTGTGGCATAGATGTTCTTTATCATCACTTTGTTTAAAGGCACATCGTGCCATCCTTCTTCACTATATGGCGATTGATTAGAATATATTGATTAAACCCTTCAACCAAGAGTTCCTCAACTTGTTAAACCACTTAACTATCAATACCATTGTCATGAAATAAGCATTAGAGTCTATGTGATTATGAGATAAAATTTAAATATATTATTATCGTGGATTTTTGAAACTTTAAGGGATAAAATAGTCACTAAAAATTCTCTCAAAACAATTATCCCTTTTCCAATTTAAAGTCAAAGAAAATGGCATAAATTCTCACATGGAATAATTGATCCATACGATGGAAGGATTGATTCCCTTGAATGGTGTATTGTATAACACTTCGCAATAGGTCATTGAATTTGGGAGAGTTTCTTGAACTTGAGTTTGTTGACTATTGATTGATATCATCAGTTCAAGGCAACTAGTGCACCAGAACCATGTAGTACTTATTCTAGCAACACTTCTTCAAAGTAGTAGAGATCAACTTTAAAATGACCTCTATGAACTTGAATGTATTTGATGTGAAACAAGTCTAAGTCAAGGTAGGGCCAACAGTCATATGTATATTCACAATTTTTAATCTTACACTAGATTGGGTTACTTTTGTCGTATGATCTTAAAAGGAAAAGGGTATACACCATTAATTCTAGCCAAATCATATTTGTGTAAATCCCAAAATAAAATCTCTTCATATATTTGATCTAAAAAAAAAACCTTTAACCATTCATGAGCCTTTTCTTTTTATATTTAAATTATTAAAAATTATTTTTCAAGTACTTACATTTCTCTCTTGATAGTAGTGGAGCAGGGTAGTAGTGTAGAAGTAAGACCACATGAACTCTTCTTCAACACTCAAGTCTTCAACCGTTTGTGCCACCCAAACCTTTCCAAGAGAGATGTTAAGTAAACAAACTTTCATCTAAGCAGCCAGAGACTTGAAGCCCAGAAGTCCACTGGCCTAATGAGAAGCTGCATCAGATTGATCCTTTGGAAGATTGGTCGAGCATTCGGTCATTTTGGTTTCTCTTGGAGGATGTATTGGGAAAGCCAGGGCAAGAGGGACTAGGCTGGCATGTGAGACGTTGGGCTTTAAGATATCCATATCTGGGATCTCTGGCACTTTGTCAAGACAGTCTGCGAGTGAGTTGAACTGTACCAGTGCCTTGGATGATCCCATGCAAGCTCTCACGACCTCTACCTTTACATCTTCTATGCCTGCGAAGTAGAGCATCGCAATTGGATTGCTCACAACGAGAACCTGGCCCATCTTCATGTCTTCTTTCAGGAAGAAACCACCACGTCCACGCTTGCTAGCTTTGATCTCCACAGGACCGACAAAGTCAGCATGGCGCCAACTGTGGCTTCAAGCCACCGGAGAAGAACTGGTGATGTCGTATGGCCCCCCTGTCTCGCTCTGCTCCTGGAAGAGCCGGCACTCAGCCAGAGCATCATCGATCCCTTGCATTGCTAAGAGCATCAGGGTCCTCCTCTCACCGTGACAAAGCCAGCTCGAAGCACTCCACGGCTTGAGTATACTCTCCAATGGCCTTCAAAGCACTGGCCTTTCGGAAGAGACTCTTGACGTGAAACTTATCCCCGTCCAGGGCTGCATTCGCGCCTTGAATCGGCGCGTCCACCATCCCGATGTAGAGAAGAACCTGGGAAGAGATGTTGGACAAGACACTAGTGTCGCGCTGCTGCTGGTGCTGGATTAAGAGCATGCCAACAATGAAGCTGACATCGTCTGGAAAAGCAACCACGAGCGATGGCTGGATGAAGCGCTCGTTGATGAAGATGGCAGTGAGTAAAGGCTTCTTGATCTTTACTAGAGCTCTTCTTGGAAACATAGCCGCCACTTCTTCGCTAGCTCTCACGCACGCACAAAACTCCATTCAGATCCTCCTGGTCACACCAACCGCGACGAGCAATGTACCTTCCCAGCAAGAAACTCCTCATTGGCGTCCTGCTTGTGCCCGAATGGCGCCGGCCATTCCTCGCTCTTGCAAATCCTAGCGATAACTAAACCATCGGATATGCTATCATCTAACGGTTGTCATTCAATTTTAGATAGCCCTAAAAGTGGATCACTTGACTTAGACCAGTCAAGAGTCAACGACGCGCCTTCCGGGGAATATCGTTAACAATCGAAGATTCCAGCGAAGCTTGGAACGAGTAAGCGCAAGAGAATTTTTCCTTCTTCGTTACGTGGATCTCACGTCGTTCTTGATGTAGATATAGTCGGAGAGCTCGTGAGAAGGAAACGGGTGAAAAGAAATGAGTAGCAGCAGTAGCGATCGCTGGAGGAGGATCACTCACTTCGACCCTCGGATATGGAGTAGCCTCCCACACGATTTGCTCCTCCGGATCTTCGCGTGCCTCCCAATCAAGAGCTTGCTCCGGCTGCGATGCGTCTCCAAGGAGTGGAACAAGGCTCTCACGTCTCTAAACTTTGCAGGGCTGCAGTCTCGAGTAGCATCGCCCTCGTCCAGGCTCCCCTGGATCCTCATGTTCAAGTGTCACAGCTATAGCGCTGCCAGAGTGCTGAGAGCTTTCGATCGATCCAGCAACAAGTGGTTCGCCATTTCCCTCTCCTTCCTGCCTCCCTATGCCACGGACATAGCCGCCTCGTCTGGAGGACTCCTGTGCTTCAAGACCATCCATCCCGGCCAATTCATTGTTTGTAACCCGCTGCTCAGCTCTTGGAGGGATCTCCCACCGCTCAAGGCCTCCAACATGGCCCGAGCAGCCGTCATCACCCTTCTCGCCACCAAAAGCTCCACTTCCAACACCTTCAAAGTCGTCGTTGCTGGATCCCGAGTCCTGGACGACCTGAGCAGCTGTGAGCGAGTGACGGAGGTGTTTGACTCGGCTGCTGGATCGTGGAGGAGGATCCAAGCTCCAGGAATGGCCTTCAACTTCAGATCCGAGACAGCCTGCTGCGGCGAAGAGACAATCCACTTCACAACTAGCTCCGATCCTCCGCTCCTGTTCTCTCTCAACCTGGAGCAGAGCAAATGGACCAAGTCAGAGGCACCGCTTCCCGAGTCACTGACTTACTGCATCCCGGTAGCGAGTGAGCGAGGAGTGCTTCACTTGGTCGGCGGACACGGGCAGCACGGGATCACCAAGAAGATGAGAATCTGGAAGCTTGGCAACAACCCGAAGCGATGGACGGAGGTGGACACCATGCCTGGTGAGATTTGTGCAAAGTTCGTATCAACCTGTTTCCACAACTACGACCAGATAAGCAGCACCGCGCAGCAGGACTTGATCTGTTTCTCGTGTCTCACCTGCCCTCAGGCAGCCGTCTATTGCATTCCTCGCAACTCTTGGATGTGGCTTCCACGCTGCGAGCAAGTGTCGCTGCGATCCAACAGCTCTCACAAATGGTTCTCGCTGGAGCCAAATCTAAAACAGCTCCATCTCTAGGTAGGCAGCACCCGCTCGTCTATGAGATTCTTCTGGCAGCAGCAACCAGTCAATAGTTGATAGAAAAATATACTTCTATAAACAGTGTTCTCTTGCATCTATTCTATCTTTCAGCAACTCGTCAATAGCACGGACGAAGTTGTGAGTACTAGCGTGATTTTACGCATAAATCTGCGGAGAAAACCATGAATGCTCGCGTCGTTTGTTCTAGACAACTTACATACCGCGATTGTATCTGGTCGTTTCAATTTATATACTTATCTTTCACTTGGCATTTGCTGCAACAAAAGAAAGAAAACCAAAACAAGAAAAGAAGGATATCGGGTTCTCTTACCTGGAGCTCAAATGCGGCGGCATCGATAGCGCCATGGCAAGCTGGAGCTCAAATCCGGCGGCATCGACAGAGCCATGGCGGACTGCGACAAGGAATGCAGGCGCCGCGTCCACAGCGCCTTGGCGCCGGCGTATCGCCATCGCCAAGAGAGCCCTATCGATAATTGCCCTAGAGATTACCTCAAGCCTTGCAACGCGGAAGAGAAGGTCCATTTAAATACCTTAGCCAAGAAACAATGAAAGAACGCCCAAAGAAGAAGGGACAAAGATGGGAAAATGGACGACTGGTCTGTGTGGATGCTTTGAAGATTTTAATTCATGTGAGTAGCAACAGAGATTTTTTTCTTCCATCGATCGGATCAATCACATTTTTTTTGCTCTTGTGATTCGATCGAATGTAGGCTGCTGTGCGTGCCTCTGCCCCTGCGTTGTGGTGGGAAGAAACATCAATGTCTTGGATCAAGGAAGCACTTGTAAGTTCTTTCGATTCCTGGATAGAATCGATGACAAGATTGCGTGAATTTACCGATCGATCGATCTCACCGCAGCGTGCTGTACCGGAGGGACAGTGTTTTGCTTGCTCCACTGCCTGGCCGGATTGGGATGCCTCTACAGTTGCCTCTATCGCGGTAAAATCCGTAACAAATTCGGCCTCCCGCCAGAACCATGCAACGATATTTGCACTGAATGCTGGTGCCTCTGCTGCTCCATCGCCCAGACATATCGGGAGCTCAAGAATCGAAACATGGATCCAGCGCTTGGTGGGTTCAATGCTTGAATTCTCTTCGATTCATTCCTTGAATTTCTCGTCTCAGGCTATGATGGCGTCACTTCGATCACCAAAAATCCGCCCAAGATATTCAAGATGTGGAAATAGAGCTCTGTTTTAGGGTTCTTGAGTGATTCCCAAAGAATATTCGAAATTCAAATGTTTTGCCTGAAAAGATTTGCAGAATATTCATTCTAGGGTTTTGTGATTTATCTAGGGTTCATGGCTGAGCTCCGGCAGCGGAGGCACGATCGCTCCTCGGCAGCGGAGATTAACAGCGAAGAAGAGGATGCCAAGAAGAAGGATCTTCCGGAGGTCAGTAAGAATGTCGGATTTGCTGCGGCTTTCGCCGCGCTCTTCATCACTCGCTACTTCAGCGCGAGCTCCAACATCGTACACGACTGCGACGAGGTTTTCAATTACTGGGAGCCGCTGCATTTTCTTCTCTATGGGTCGGGATTTCAAACTTGGGAGTACAGGTGAGTGAGAGCTTTAGAGAGTGTCTGTTCTCTCGCTAAAATAATTGGAGTTTCGTTTCTCTGGACTAGCTCGGAGTTTGCTCTTCGATCGTATCTTTACATCCTGATTCATGCCGTTATTGGAGCTCCAGCTTCTTACATTCTCGCAAAGGTAGGAAAGTTTCTCTTTTGGATTGAAATTATCTTCCTTTTCCAGGTGAAAGTTTTCTATCTGATTAAACTGGCATTCGCCTTGGTGTCTGCGGGCGTCGATGGAGCTCTTGTGGCAGCCGTGTCCGAAAGGTTTGGAAAAAGGATGGCATCATACACTTTGGTTTTACTCTGCTTTGCCAGTGGTTGCTACACAGCTAGCACAAGTAAGGAAAAATTCTCAGGCTGTTCTCACTCACTTTTCTTGTTTTTTTTTCTCCTTTCTCAGCTTTTCTGCCGAGCACCTTTTCAATGTACGCTATCAGCCTTGCATCAGCGGCTGTGCTTGCCGATAAGTTTGAAGCTGCCGTCGCCGTGGCTGCCTTGGGGGTCCTTGTTGGCTGGCCATTCTCGGGCCTTGCGGTTCTTCCCGTGGTAGTGTACTCTTTGGCGAATGGTAGCTCCGTCAAGGTTTTCATGGCCGGTGTTAAATCCTCAGTCGTTCTCATCGTAAGTTCCTCTTTTCTCTTATAAATTGGTGGATATTCTCCTGGAAACTCAACTTGATTGTTTATGCAGGCGCTGTCAGCACTATGTGATCGATTATTTTACGGTCAGTGGAAGCTTTCTATTCTCAACCTCGTCACCTACAATGTCGTGGGAGGTGGCGACAGCATTTTATACGGTGTGGAGGGACCCTTGTTTTATCTTCGGAATGGGCTCAACAATTTCAATCTTGCGTTGTTGTTGGCGTTCGGGCTACCTGTTTTGCTGCTTTTCGTGCGACGAAGTACCGACAAGCATCTCCTACTGGTAATCTCACCTTTGTATTTGTGGTTTGGATTCATGTCCTTGCAACCTCACAAAGAAGAAAGGTATCAAAACTATGCTCTCTATCTTAGTTCACTCAGCTTTTTTTCTTTTCAGGTTCCTCTATCCAATCTATCCCCTCATTTGCGTAGCTGCGGCAGCTAGCATCGAGCGGATTCCAGGTCTGGTACCACGAAAAATGAGCTTCGTGCATGGTCTGTTCACGAAACTGAGGCCTTTGCTCTTATCTTTCATCCTGGTGGCATCGTATAGTCGAACAACGTCTTTACTTCAAGGTTACTCGGCACCGATGCAGATTTACACACACCTTCCAACTAATCCAACCGAGAATTCCACAGGCAAGCCTCGCATTTTCAATTCTCTTTAACTCCTGCGTTTCAATGCAGTTTGCATTGGCAGTGAGTGGCACCGTTTCCCATCCTCGTTCTTTCTGCCGTCAGCCAAGTACCAAGTGAGATGGCTCGACGATGGCTTTAGAGGACTTATGCCGTTTCCATTCGACAGCAGGCTGGGTGGAACGAAAGCAGCTCCGGACTACTTCAACAGGCATAACAATGCTTCTCCAAAGCAATTTGTAAGTTAGATCTCATCTCGCTACTTATTTTCTTTCGAAGGTTCTCACTCTTCCGAAATCCCTGTCTCAGCTCCAAAGCGACGCTTCCTGTGACTTTGTGGTGGAGCTAGTCTTAGACAGACCGGGCGTAGAGTATCGTGGAAACAATCAAACCAAATGGACTGTACGTGCTTGTTTACGCTTGCCAGATTCTCTAAGAGTATTTTTCTAACAGGTCGTGGCTAAACGCTTGTTCCTGGACAATGAGAGCTCACCTCGTCTCCACCGCGCGTTTTTTATACCCTGGGCATGGCAAAGTAAGAACTCCTTCGGCACTTACAGGCTACTCATACGCAATGTGGTCGAGTAAACAAACAAACCATAGGCGAATTAACGTGATTTTTCACTTTCTATGATCTTAAATTACCATCGCCAAAGTTCTTTCTAAGAATATTTTTTAGTCGCAGAGATGCTTTGTTCTAGATTCGAGATGGAGGCTTTGTTTCTCTCCCATAGTATTTAAATCTAGAGGCTTGAGTGGCAGCCAAAGATCGTCTCTACAGAAACAAATTTTTGGATATGGAGCCATGAAACCTCGCGGCTAATCCCAGCCGTTGGATCACTAGGTTGTTCTTCAGCATTGTTTTTCCCTCCATGGAGCTCGCTGCAAGATTTGAGGTCGATCGCGTTGCTGGCCCAGCTTTCCTTCCCTCTCGGAGCCGATCCAAGCTCTAAAGTCTCGTCCTTGGCGGCGATTGCAAGCGCCGAAGGTATCTGAGGTGAATCGGTGGATCTTCTCCTGTTGTTCGAGGTTTCTGGTTTTCTCTCGCTCTCCGAGTCGATCGGAGCTGGAAATTCGCGTTCTTGCGAGCGATGAAGGCCCTGGAGGAGAAGATCGACGATCTTGTCACGGCATTGGGGGAAATCTCCCATTGCAATGCTGCTCCAGATTCAGGCAAGAAGAAATATCCCCTTGTGCCGCCTAGCGATGGCAAATCGCCGCTCACTGCATCGCCACGGCACTACGAGCGCGGCATTCCTGGTGTCGTCCAGACAAGTCCAAGGGTCGACGATTCGTCGGACAGGATCTTGTTCCATGCCGTGGCCATACGCTATGAGCTTGTGATGGAAGGCAAGGATCCATTGCAACGGCACGCCACGGAGTTTGCAATCCTTCTACCCACCAGAGTCGATCCGGCCGTGGCAGCGATGGTAGTGGAATTGCTCCTCCAAGAAAACTCCATAGTCCGTGCCCATCTAGAGGAGATTGGAGAAGTGCTGGTTCCCTCGGACGAGGTATACTATACAGTATGCTCTCTCTTTGTGTGAAGTTTCTTACTTGGATCTCTTTTCATTCCAGGTGGTGAAGATCAAAGAATTTACCAAATGGCTTTTCGATCTCGTCCTGGGCCGCTCCCAAGACGCGAGGCTATCGGAGTACCGAGAGGTCCAAAGCTTTACTACGCCGTTCCATTGCTAGAGACTTGGCGATGGAGGAGAGAGGAGTTTAAGCTGCCCGTGGATTGGAACTTGATGGCGGCTGCAACTTCTTCAGGTTTGCATTACGCTGACTCGATGATCGCTTCCGAAGCACAGGCCTCGAACGAGAAGATCGCGATTGACAGCTTGATCCTTTGCGCTGGAAAATCGTGCGTCGTTCTATCGAAACACTCGAACGAAGTTGTTGCTGTGAGGGCGCACCGGGCACTGAGCTATCTCACGAAACACAATGGTATGAAACTCTAACTATCTATCACCATTTGATCTGAGTTTCTTCTTTCCAGATGCTACACTAACGAAAAAGCTAAGAGCCGTCACCTTTTCAAGAAGGGAGTGCGTACTTCCGAAAACTTTACTACCGGGAAGCTTGCATAGAGGCGCTCTTCGGCTTCCTTCTGTTATGTACAGGCTTGAGATGGCACTGCTAGCCGCAGAACTGCGCGATGCAATGGACGTCCCGGTCTCGGCTTTGAAGGTACAATTCGTAGCAAGTTTGTTTTCTGGAGGACTGAAACGTGGTTTTAGCTGTTGGAGGCTTTGACATCCAGAGCATGCTGTTTCAATGTATCTTACGAGCCACTAGAACTGTTAGGAGACAGCGTGCTGAAGATCGTCGCTGGAACGTATGTCTACGCGACGACGCCTTCGATGGGCAGTGAAGAGCTTGGCCTGGAGCTGTACAATATAGTTTGCAACAGCACGCTTTCCAGTTTGGCACTAGCTCGGAATCTGTACCGGTATGTATTTGCGGAGATGTTTTCGCCGCTGAAGTGGATATCTCCGGGCATGATACCAGCAGCGGCAGAGATTCCGGAACAACTGCTCTCGACGAAGACACTGGCGGACGTGGTAGAAGCCGTTCTGGGGGCATGCGTGCTGGAAGGGGAACTTGCTGCCGCTATGGCAGCAGCGAACTGGCTCCAGATACCAGTCCGGTTTCCTCCTGGGGCCGAAGATCATCACAGATTCGAAGTCACAGGCTGCGGATCATTAACAGACGATGATTTGAACGAACTACAAGAGAAACTCGGCTATCAGTTCAGGAACAAGCAGGTCTTGCGAGTTGCTCTGAGCTTTCATGACGACAACTTCACTTTCAGGCGTCTAGAGTTTCTCGGCGATGCAGTGCTGGACTACCTCGTGACACGGCACTTGGTCAGATCATTCCCGGACCAGTCGGCCGGTCGCCTCAACACCTTAAAGCAGGCAACGATCAACAAGGAGCACTATTCCTGTGTCAGTATTCGTCATGGCTTTCACGTCTATCTTCAGAAGGTCCACTTCGTCCCTCAAATTGCCGAGTTCGCAGAATCACTTGTCGAAGAGCTTGCAAGGGGGAAAGCATGCTCGACTTTCGGCATTTCCAGACTAAACTCACCAAAAGTAAGCCAAGTCCTCCAATGATCCTGTCTGCTTATTCTCTGTTTCAGCTGCTTGGAGACATGATTCAAACACTGGCAGCTTCAATTTTTATCGACTCGGAATACGAACCAAATATCGTTTGGAAGGTAAGTCGTATATTTTGGAGTATACTTTCTTGTAACTTCTCTCATCTTCAGGTGTATGAAAGGCTCTTAGAACCAATCGCCACTCCGGAAAACGTGATGCTCCATCCAGTCAAGCAGCTCGAGACCTTGTGTAGAGAGCAAAGACTTGCTCTCGACATCCAGTGCACTGAGGTGGACGGTTTCATACGCGCCGATGTTGTGATCGACAATGAGCGCGTCAGCTGCTGCGAGCACGAAGAGAAGCGCGTGGCAAGACGCTTAGCTGCGATGCAAGTACGTATATATATCAACTCAGTTCTTCGTCCTCTAACACAAAGTCTGGTTATAATAGGCTGTGCAACAATTGACAACTTCTAATCAAGCAGTGTCTCTCACCAGTAGTTTGAGTCGATCCACTACCTCCTAAACCTCCTCAAAATCTGTGCTTACTTGTCACGCATCTTGTCCCCCAGCTTGCTGGCTCTTCCCTTGGTTCTTTCCTTGTTCTCTCCGTCGTCTTCCCTGTCCCGGTTCCCACCCATCAATTCGTCCACGCAGAAACAGTAAAGTTCTTGGTGCAATTGCTGCCACTGCTGGCCATTGTTAAGAGCCCGCCGGAGCTCCGATCGCAATCTCTCCAGCTCCATTTGCATCGCTGCCGTGGAGCCTTGTTGCTGTCATCAAAACCCGTCAACGGTCTCTCATCCAGGCAAAAAACTCTTTCTTACCTCTAGTTCTCTTATTTGTCTTCCCATGGCGACCATACTGTGAGAGTAGCCCTCGGCATCCTCGTCATCAGCAGGACAAGTTAACGGAAGGACAACCGGGGGGCCTTCCCAAGGCTTGAAGTCTTGTGCCACTGACTCGACTGTTACGTACTTGCTCAACGGAACCACTGGAAGCGTTGGTAAGCGACGGTTGATTTGACGGCCTTGCTGATCTGTAGAGCTGAGCAGGGACGAGGGCCGTGGTATCACCAAAAGGCTGCTCACAGGACCTGCAAGAAACCAGCAAAGCAAAGCAACTTTTGCGTTGGGAGAGACAAAAAGAAACTTTGGTCGGTCACCTTTGCTGTGAGAAAACGTCCGAAGAACCTGGCGGCTCACGGTGTCCCACAACCGGACAGTGCAGTCCTCGGAGCCAGAGACGAGCGACACCCCATCCATGCTAAATGCTAGAGCAGTAATAGCACGGCTGCTCTATCAAGAACAACTCCAGATTAGTCAAAAGCAGTCGGACGGGTGGATTGGAACAACAAAACTTTAGAAAGCACACAACCTGTGGCCGATCCCGTCAGCACCGAGTAGCCCATCCGCGGAATGCAAGCCAGACCCCGATGGAACACCGAAGTTTAGAGCCGTGATAAAAATCCTGCCATCGACTCCACCGGCGTAGAGCGCGTACTCCCCTGGATCAAGTGCAACAGCATTGATGGGAGTGGGGAAGAGTATCGACCGGAGTAGAGCTCCGAGAGCCAAGCTCCATATCTATACAAACTCTCGCGGTAAGCTGGAAAAACTAACACGCTGCTGCGAAGAGCTAAAGAAACGTACCTTGCAGGTGTGGTCTAGTGAGCACGAGACGATGATCGCGCTAGAACCACCAGAGCCGGCCAGCAATCCAGTGACTGGAAGTGTGTGATCCGACCATTTGTGCATGTAAGGTACCTGGGTCTCCCCGGCTTCTTCGATGCTGTCCAGGGCCCTGGAAGGAAGCCGGAAAGGATGAGAAGAAAGCTTCAAGGAGAAAAGCTCGATCGATCGGATCAAACTTACCTCACGAGAGGATAGACATTGACGAGTCCATCCTCGGCACCAGAGATGAGTAGCGAATCATCGTCGGAGAAGACGAGGCACTTGACGGCTTTGTAGTGCCCGGCCCACACTCGCAGCAATCTTCCACTCGAGACCTTTGCCAGAATCCCGTGTCATGGTGTGAATCACAAAGTTAAGAGAAGTCTCACCTCCCAGAGATAAATTCTTCCCGACGATCCTCCTCCCGCCAAGTAAACTCCATCGGCAGTGCAAGCTAGAGGCTCGATCGGCTCCACGGGATAGCTCTTGAAAGCCACTTGGTTCTACGCAGAGGAAAAGAAAATGAATGAAACGGCCGATCAAATTCGAGATTTTGGCAAGAAGAAATCGATCGATTCCTGCTCTCACTCACCTTGTGCCAGGTCCAGAAGAAGATCGTGCCGCCGGCATTGTTAGCAGTCTTGTGGATCTGCGATGCCGCCAGGAAATGGTGTCCAACACACGCCAAGGCATTGCGCGGCGCCGCGCACGATCGGAGGTGCGACAGCGGCACGCCCGACGCCAAATCCCACACCGTCACGCCAGCATCCAGATTGGAGCAGGCGATCACAGCTTCTCTCACCGTCGCCAGCTTGCCCCATCCAAGGACGGCCCTCTCCAGGCCGTAATTCTCTCCTCCCTATAAACCCTAACCCTAGAGACGCATTAAAACTTCCCAGTAGAGGAGAGTGGATATTCTTTCTCGCGACTAGGGTTTAACAAGGTATGTGATCGATTGACGCTTCTTCTCTGGCTATCCGGCGAGATTTCGTGCCGATTAGCTCGTTCCATTGAAGCGATAGCAGCTCCGCCTCGATCGGGCATGTGATTTCCAGCCAATGCAGCAGAGATTTGCTTGCTTTGGCATTGCCCGATCGATGTACATGGTTTTTCTCTAGCAAAATTGATCTAAATCTCGAAATATTTGTGTTGTGGTAGACAGGTATCGTCATGGCTCTCCTATCTTCTTCCAGCTGCTTCATGAACAAGGTATTTAGATTTGTCTGGTGGTTTTCTCCTATCTCATGCTAAGATTTTGCTACGTTCCAGGCAGTTTTCCCAGTATTCCAGCACGATCTTTCTCGTACTCCAAAATTCGCCCGCCAAAGCAGAAGGCCAGCCACCAAAGTAGCGGCATTTTTTGATCCCAGAGAGGATCCAATCGTGAAGGAAGCTCTCAAGGTATGACGCTTTGGTTATATAAAACTCTCTGAGAAAGAAAGCCTGCGTGTTTTATCTAACAGGAACCGATCGCTTTCCTCGGTGGCGTCTTTGCGGGAATGCTCCGCCTCGACTTAAACGAGGAGCCTCTCAAAGGCTGGATCGAAAAGACTGCCACGGCAGCGAAGCTCCAGGCTGACGAGAAGCTGGAGACGATCACAGACAAGGACGATGGCGGTCCCGAAGAGATCCAAATCGAATGAAGGAGTGCCAGTTCTTTCCTATTTCCGTAAGTTTCTCAGTAAAGCAACCAAGCTTTGCTGACGGTCCTTCCTCTCTCTTGTATCTTTACAGTGATATGTCTGGTGAGAGAATCAAAAGGCGTCAAGCTTTGCGGTATGGCCTGTAAATGCGACTCACGGCAGTTGTTGCGTAGCCAGAAAATTGCGGTTGCCAAAGATGCTCGTCTCGAGGGACAGGGCATTTGCAGGCGACCACACCCAACACTGGGAAATAAATTTCTAGCTCTCTCTCTGCGCATCGGTATAGTACCTCTCTCGCTTGGCATTTGTTTTTGGATCTCTAGTTCATGAATTTGGGTACGTATAGGAAAGGGCACTGCACACTCGCAGACAGGAGCGCTTGAAGGTTTTCACGTGCTGGAGCTGCTGCGCTCACATGAAAACGTTTCCATGGTTTGGGAGCTCGATTTGATTTCGGCAGGGGAGAAGTGAGAGCGGGGAAAAGGATTTCTTCTGCGATTGTCATCTGTGACGATGGCCTTTACGGGACCACTCCGACTCCAATCCACTTATGATATTCAAGTAAGCATCACAGCATACTTTGTCTCCTTTTCTCCGCATTGACTAATCTTTTTGCTTGACTTATCAGCCGCAAAGAAGAAAACAAGCGAGCGCATCCAAACAAGAGGCATTTTGAGGAGACCCATGGCCAGTTTCGCTGCAGCTGGTCCGTGATGTCACTGCAGCGCTGGATCGAGAACAGGTACAAACAGAAAAGCAGGAGAAAGAATTCCTCCGTTGTTTTTATGCACGGCATGCTTACAGGTGGTGATCGCTCGTGATCTTGCTAAGAGGAAGACAGGCGTTGCAGCGGTACAGCAGGGAAGCGACCGATGGATGGATCGATCAATCAATCACAAAGGTATTTACACTCTCGCCCCGCTGGTTTTTCTGGATCGATCATCACTTTGGCTCGTCCACACCACTCACTTTGTTATTAAGCTGACTTCGACCGCCACTCGCTCACTCTCTCGTCTTTGCAAATCTCTCAGGAAGGAAGACGAAGATGGTAGTAGCATTTTTTTCCGCTGAAAGCAACAGCGACCAATCAACGGCAGTGGCGAGTGACGATTCGGGATCAACAGACAAAAAGAAATTCGCGGAGATCCATTCAAACAGTCGCCACAACAGCGCAGCGCTGCCAGGCGGAAGAATAGCGAATTTTTAAGAGATTTACACATCGCCCAGCCAAGGTATAAAGGAGGTGCAATTAAAACTCGCGGCCCAACGGCCCAGATTTCTCCCGGGAGCGAATATCTGGCATTGAATGGACGCTGGCGGCAGCGAATATCCACGCGCGGTTAATTAAATGGGCGAGGGTTAGGATTAATTGCGTGTAAAACGGCTGGCTTAGGGTTTAGACGCTAGTGAAGATGGATGGCTCCATTTTCTTCTCTGGAGGATTTCACTCGCCTTGACCGCCACGATCTAGCCTAGCGGCGTGTTCTTGCGCGAATTGGCCGGGATTTCCAGGAGCAATCGATCGATTCTTCTTCTTCTCTCCCTCTCGCGCTCGCTGCTACTAGATCGATTTGGCGATGGATCCAGGGGTGTGCTTGGTTCATCCCAGCAAGAGGCAGCCGGTGGGGGTTTGTCACTTGTGCCTCCGGGATCGCCTCGTCCGGCTCTCTCTCTCGGGCGATTCTTCCAGCAGCCACACGCTCCTCCCGAATTCCTCCTCCTCCAGGAGCTCCTTCGATTCCTCCTCGTGCTCCAAGACCGACGACAGCAACGGCAATGGCAAATGCGGCAGCGGCAGCGTCGTCGGTAAGCTCGGCACGATCTTCTCGCTCATGGAGAGCGATAGCGAGGAGGCAGTGGCTCGAATCGAGGAGAAAGAGGGGGATGTAGGCGAGGAGGACGACGAAGAGGTAGAGCAGAGCGTTCCATCGTGTCTTCCCAGGTCCAAATCTCTCTCGCAGTGGCAGCAGCAGCACCCGCCGCGGCGGAGCTCTAGCACCAAGGATCCAGCGTTTGCGCGATTCGCCGCTCCCGATTCAAGAAATGGGGGGGAAGGAGGGTTTCCAGCGGATGGATTCTCCTCCGCTCGGAACTCCAAGAATGCCGCTGGATCCTATCACAGTCCCCTGGTATCGGCATCCGCCACGCCCGTGGCTCATCACGTTGACAGGGATCATCGCGGCGCCAGGAATCCCCATCACCACAGCGGCGGCGGCGGCAAGCTCTCCTGGATCTCCTCCCTCTTTGGGCTGCGCAAGAGGAAGAAGAAGTCCAGCCACAACGGCGCCGTGGAGACGAATTTCTTCCCTCCCGAGGCCTGGAACGACGATTTCCACCACCGCGGGGCGCACGCCGATCGCGATCGCCTGTGGCGCAGCCGATCGGTCTCCTCGGGGCGCGTGATCAAGAAGAGCTTCACTCCTCTCGGGGACCCTCCACTCGACCATCCCGGCGCGCCCACTGGAATCGACCCCGCGACCTCCTCCTTGGAGCCCCCGAGGGCGTCGGCGCAAGGAATCGAACCCCGGGTGGCCTCGCTCATCGCGCTGGACATGACCAAGGTGATTACCAACGCGGCGTATGACGTGGAGGACAGCGGGGACGGGGGTGCCGCGTACGTGGCGGGGCCGAGGTCCAGCGTGGCGTCCTTGATGGACATCGACCGCAAGTGCGCGGCCGCCACGTGTGCCAGCCCGACCGTGCTGCAGAGGAGCCGGAGCACGGGCGGGTGGCGCCGGATGATACGGAGCGAATCGCCGTCGTCCGTCCTGGCAAATCCGACGGCCCATGGTAGCGGTAACGGTAACAGTGACTGGGGATTCTATCTAACTCCGCTGAGGACTTTTAACAAGAGCAGGGGTGGTAGCAAGCAGGGGCGCTGAGATTAAACGCAAAAACTACGCGAGATCGGATCAAACAGTGACTTGGATCGATCGTGTCGAGGCTTACTTTGCATTTAGGATTGATGGCTCTAATGTAATTCTTCTTTTTTTCGTTTTGTGAAGCTTCACACTGGAAGAGATTCGAGAAAAGTTTGAGAGTGACAATGGAAGAACAAAAACAAAGCTGTACAGATCGAGCCCCACTAGGGAACAAGGAGATTTTTTGGGAGTAGAAGACAGGACTACCCACCGGTGTGTTATATAAGATTTTCTCACAATTCTGTAATTTCTCTCTTTCCTCTCTTTGGGATCCACTCAAGTGAAGATGGATTCAAAAGAGACGATGGAGTGATTTGCTCTTTTGGGGTGTCTTAAAATCTCTCAAAGTTGGCGATGTTGGCACACCAACCAGTGTAATATAGTGTGTCAAAAACCTTTGGGGTGGATAGAACATGTGCAAGTGAGAGATTTGGGATTGCACGGAAATTTTTTCTTTGTTTTTTTTTTCTTTGGTTTCGAGGACTAGACTAGATTACTGAGCCTGGAATGTTTGCTTCGCTGTTTAAATCGCTGACAAGGACCAACTGCTGTCTGTCATGGTTTGTATGCTTATTTTGCAGTCTTTAATCCCAAGATAAAGACCATCACCACCACCTTGAATACAAAATAGAATCCTTTGCGTGGGATACAGTTAGTTCACGCAAACACTGAAGTGTTGGTAATGGATTCATGTGGAGGATTCAAGTTGCTTGAGGAAACTGCCAAAGAAAGATCCATGAATTTGTATCCAGAGGGTGTCCAGAAGAGAAGCTCCTCGAGCTGTGGAAGAAAAAGAGGCGGCTAAAGTCATGGAGCACCAAACTAAAACGTACTCGATTCATGGGTCACCGTCGCAGCAAAAAATCGTATACAATCGCAAGCGCTAAGTCGGCGCCACAAGTGGAAAAACTCGATCAGAACAACGACTTTGCATATAAACGTAGGAGTTTGCTCTTGATTGTGAACATCGCCCCAGCAACATGAAATCTCCTTGCTCTCCTCTCCTCTTTGCAACTCTGGCGATCTTCTTTTGTGATGCTTTGGTTGTTCTTCAAGCAAGCCAGCAGATTGATCTTGTCGGCGCACACAACGCAGCTCGGTCGGCTGTGAATGTCTCGGGGCTGGTTTGGGACGATACAGTGGCCGCGTTTGCATCAAGCTGGGCGGCAACTCTCCGGGATCAAAACAACTGCGCGCTGATCCACTCGGGTGGGAGATATGGCGAGAATCTGTGGAAGTGGTGGGGAAGTCCCGGCTTGCCTGCTCCTCCCGCCACTGACGCTGTGGCTGCCTGGGTGAACGAGCGAGTCGACTACAACTATGCGTCAAACACTTGCGCGGCGGGGAAGGTCTGTGGACACTACACGCAGGTTGTGTGGAAGAACTCTGTTCGAGTTGGGTGCGCTTATGTCCAGTGCAATGGTATGAATGCTTACCTTGTTAGTTGCAACTATGATCCACCAGGAAATTATATAGGCCAGAAACCATATTGACATGGTTTATGCACTGATATCTGAAAGAATTAGTAAATATTCAATTCATAACCAACTCAAACTCAATTTCTCAAGGTCAATAAAGACTTTCTCATGGTAAGTCCACCAATCCGGGGGGGGGCTGTATACTGATCCAGTTATAATCCTCTCTGGATTGAACGAATGGGCTTTTGGACTCGAAGTGGTGTATCGGTGCTCTGGCGAGCGAATTCCCAGAGTATACCGGCGAACAATCTCATTTCCACCTGTATTTGACTTCCATTGACTTTTTTTTATCAAAGTGGTCCTTGATTTATTTGGAGGATTTATTACACCTACCAGCGTCGACTGATGAAACAGAGGTTACATTCTCAAATTCAACTGTAAATCAATAACATTAGGTAGATAGATAGATTCATGGCATGATGATTAATCATCTATATCCAAGTTTCTAAGGCTCGAGCGCAAAACCAATCCCGCGCATGTAGTCAGAGGTGAATCCATACAAGCCCACGATCTCGCTCGCGTCCGCCGTCTGGAAGCTCGTCTGGCCGCTCATCTCATGCCCGCCGTACGGGCCGTACGTGACGCTCTTCCCGGTGATGTTGTTGTACGTGACGAACGACAGCTCCGTCACCGTGACCCCCTGGTTCTGCTCGCTGCTGTATGGCCCGTACTTGCCGGTGGCGCGCACGAACCTCTCATACGGATAGGCGACTTGGATCTGCGTCATGGAAGGGAATGATTAGGAGAAGAGAAAACTGCTCATTTTGGTTCTTTTGGGAGACTGACCTCTGTGAATTGCGTGGTTGTGCCGTGGTTAGCCATCCAGGTTGAAGAGCTGCCGGTGGCGTATTGTCCCTGGATGCCGTCGATCACCCAGCCGTAGTGTACGCGGATTGCGGTGAGAGTTTTGATCGCCGAGGAAGAACTCATGTCGTTGAATCCCACTCCCGCGTTGGTGCCGTAGAGCGGAGACCAGGAGCGCCCTTCCACCGTGACGACGACAAGCTACGACAAAACAAAAGAATTCATCACAGAAACATCATTGGAAAAATGAGCTAATATGTATACCAGGAGAACAACAAAGGATCTCAACAATGCAGCCATTGCACAACTCTGAAACTTCTCTCCCTTGCTATAATCGATCGCTACCAAGAGAAGAAGAAACTCCTTGTATAGACGGAAGAGTTGTGCAGCCTTAGAACTTTGGCTTTTCTTGTGCAGCCTTCTTGGACAGCAGCATGCAAACAAGAGCCCCATGAAGGAATACGGTAAATAAACCGCACGAACTCTGTCGTAAGACAGCTTTCAGACAGTCATGCCAGCCTTAGTAGTATTAATCATATTAGGATCGGATTAATGTATTATCATGACAATAAATTTCCTATAATCAGTTGTTTAGGATTTTGAGCGTCTCAATGTTTCGCGTCCCAAGGTGGTTCTTGTAGAAGTTGTCCATGTACTCTCTGAACAAGCATGCTTTGAACACGGGAGGATTGTCACCTAGCAACTCCTCCAGTGGGGCAATATGTTTATCATCTGTAGGACCATAAAATGAAGCAATTGAAACTCGTGGCCCCTTAGTGTTCACTAGAACTCGATGCTCCGCACTCTTATATTTATTGTTGCTTAGTATCTGTAAGAGGGAAACTAAGAGCTCATAGAAAATGTCATCAAATTATTTCACCTGGAGCATGTCTGCTACATTAATGACTAATGCGCCTTCAACTGGCTTCACAGGAATCCATTGGCCATTGTAGTTAACCTCAAGGCCCTCAACTCCAAGTTCTTGTTGTAATACCGTTATGGTTCCTGGATCAGCATGACAACCTATACCAATTGCTTGATCAGGGCATGGACACTGTGGATAATATGTCATCTTCATGGTTTGCTTGGGAGGATCCAAGTGTTTCTCCAGGATCTGCCAATCTAGACCAAGGTTTTGAGCAATAATTCGCAATAGTTTTCTGGCAAGTTCGTCCACAGCCTTGGCGTAATTGCTTGTAATTTTCCTTTGTTATAATGAATATATAGTGTTAAAACAGAAAAAAGTAAAATAAAAAGACATGTGAAAGGAAAGTTTGTACCTGTAATTTGGAATACTTTCTGGTACATCATCCTCGTGAACTGCTGGCTGACAGTGCTGGAACAAATAGTCGCTCCAAAACTTTTTCTTTGCACTTGCTATGGATCCTGTGGAGAATCTAAAGCTCTTGTAGATATCTGTTGAGTAATAAACCATCCTTTCCTTGGCAGGCAAGTTAAAAAAGTAATGGACTATTTTGATGATGTCTTGCATAAGCTCGTTAGATATCCCATGGCCGCTGACCTGACTAGAACAATTTGCAAAGTATTTCAGAAGAGATTTACTTACCTGGAAAAAACCCCATTTCTGGCAAGCTAGATGGATTTCTTCAGCTGCTGATTTTCTTTTCAAATCATCATTATCTATGCCACTTAAGTCAATAATTGGGAGGTTGTTTGGAGCTTTGATGGTTATGCCTTTGCATATGGATGTCAAATATTCATTTGGTACATGATCTATACCCAAATCCACCATTGCTCTCACACCAGCCATAATATTTCCAAGTAACCTGTTTCAGAAAACACAGAACATTGTTATATTCACTACATTTTATTGGTAATCTCGCCATACATTTTGTAAGTATCCCAAGAATAGAGGTTAGTTATGTTTAAACTAAAGTTATAGATTTACAATTTATTTAAACTAAAGGCCTTAAGGACGGATAAATAAAAAATTTACAACCTTATCAAGTCGGCAAAAAGCTCATATGAAGCAGAATGATCTAGTCCGATTATTTCCCTAGCAACCGAAGCTCCATGTTGAACATCATTGTTAGTTCGGCTTGCTCCAAACAAGCACCTCCACTGAATCGAATCTGGTACATATGGCATGTTAGCCACAAGGTCTTGCGCATTTTCCAAATGCCCGGCTCGCCCAAAGACATCGATCATGCAGCAATCTGTTTGAGTCGCTTCCCGAACGGGACACCATCTGCTGGAGCGCTATGCTTGCCGCTCTTGTTCAAAACGGGCTCTACTTGGAAGCTTTTGTTGTTTTTGACGAGATGAAGATGGCGGGATCAATTGACAAGGTGTGTTTTGTATCGATCCTCATTGCTTGCAGCCAGGGAGGGAAGGTTTCCACTGCAAAATCGCTCTTCGTGTCGATGAGTCTTGATTTTGGGTTTCAACCGAGCAAGCAGCACTCCTTTCGGAATGCCTGACGTGACCATTGTGAGCATACGCTGCGAGCATCGCAGTCCACGAAACCACGTCGCGTTCCAGCATGTTGTCGAACAAAACCTTGGACTCTCGCAGCTGCTTGTGCTGCGCATACGACGCAAGCATGGCTGTCGAAGACGTGGAGTTGTGCTGAGGCATCGGTCCAAAAGTTTGTTTGGCTTCGTCCAAGAGACAGTTGTGGGCATATGCCGAAAGCATGGTGCTCCAAGAAACGATGTCTTGCTCGGGCATTTCCTCAAAGATCTGGCTTGCTCTCCTTATCCGGCCTTCAGCAGCGGTCGCCGCGAGGATTGCGTTCCAACAATCCTGTAACAATGGCGTCGCAAGATCAAGATGCCCGCATTGGGCATAAGCTGCAACCATGGCGGTCTGCGATACCGAATCCCTCTGCGGCATGTCGTCAAACAGTCGCTACATTGACGATGTAACAACAAGGGGGGCATCCATCTTTTTGCTTACACCAGGTCTCTTACTATTAGCGTTCTTCTTCGTTTTTTTCTTCCGGGAGGCCCCTTCGATGTCGATGAAAAGCTTTTAACAAAGTATGTGTACATAATTGGACGAAAAGGGTGTAGTTTATATTATATTGGCTTTCGTCGTCCTTGTAGTCCTCTTTTCAGTGTCTCGAGATGACGAACACCACGTAACTAGAAAAATTTGTGTGTCTTCTCAGCTGGGCTCGTTTCCAAGTGACACGATTAGCTCAGCGCTAGCCAGGACGGACGGCCTAGATTCACTGGAACCAGAATATTCCACTACTTATCAGATATTTGCCCGCGGAGGAGATCGATCAATCAATGGCGCCGGGTGCATTGCGGCTACGCTGCTAGATTTCTAGAATCCGAGGTGAGTCGGCGCAGATCTAGAGCTCCGCGCCACAGGGATACCTTTTCCATCGACCAGGGGGTTACCCTTCGATCATGAGGGCGAGAGGCTACATCTTGCCGATCTTTGTGCTGCTCGCATGCTTTTCCTTGGCAGCGGCGGCCGCTCAGCTCGTCAGTAGCGGATCATCGGTCGACAAGGCGGGATTTCCGTCCGTGTTGAGGCTCAGGAAAGCTGCCAAGGAGGAGTCGTGTGAGCCGAATTGGCCTCCGCAAAAATCAACGGCCTGACACTGGCCTCCGCAAAAACTGCTTGAAAAGTTTACCCTTCGCGACCCAAATATCACGTCAAACGGGCTGTCCAAACGCTCGGCCTGCGCCCCAGCTACAAGGTCTGCTGCAGCTGCCTGTAAAGTGAAGAGTTTATCAATGATCAGGTTGAGATTCTTCAACAGCGAGAGTTCACCTTCATGTTGACTTGGTCGGACCCAAGAGATTTTGTAAGAACTTCGATTATGTCGTCGTTGAAGAGATTGTGAAAAAAGGCCATCAGTTCCCAAAACAATGATGTCCTTGCAGACATGTAGACGGAAAATTAGCGAAGTTAAGGGAAAAGCATCTGCAACCGTCGGATGGTCACCAAAAGTTCCAACTTGAAACGGAAAGTTGACGGGGCTTTGGTTAAACTTATTTGAGATTAATATTATATCCAGGAACGGTGACTTCTCCTTCAAGCGACATGTAGGGATTTACAACGAGCCGATGGATCCAGAGTAGAAATGGATGTTTTTAGGACGCTAAAACAAAACGTCTTTGGACAACATGCTTCTCTGGCTAGCCAAGTCTCCTACTAAAGCAGAGATCCAAGCTTTAATTGACCAAGCCAAGAGCTCTCTATTAGGTGGAGATACCTTTTATTGCACAGCTATGGTTCAATCGTAAGAACCATGGTGCTGGCGCCAGGCTAGATTTTGGGCACACTATCAACACACTATCAGTCACACATCCATGATCTGGAGCTCCTTGCTGTTGCTCATGGACGATCCATCACAGATCTTCCCCTGCCCCTTGCACGCCCGGCATTTGGGCCCCGAAAAGGTCGGAGAACTCGGATCGCTGGAGCCACCCCATGCTCCAAAGCTTGCGATCCTGGAAAATTGAGAGAAGCTAAAACGAAAAAACCAAGAATTCGATCGAGAAATCCTATTCTTACCCGGAGATTTTGCGCATTCGCCCACAGCTGCGTGGTGGTGTCACAAGTGGCCACCATTTGGACGAACCATTCCTTGTCGCACATCCGCTGCTTGGCTCGAGCTTCGTGGTGGCGCCATCCAAAAGTGCGCTCCATGGCTGTCCATTTGGATCCTGGAGACTCGAGACAAAGATTGGCAACAAGATCGATCACCAATTCACTCACCGACGGGATTTTTGCGGTGGTATCCTCCCAACGCGAGCTGCTACTAGATCGATTTGGCGATGGATCCAGGCGTGTGCTTGGTTCATCCCAGCAAGAGGCAGCCGGTGGGGGTTTGTCCTCGTCCGGCTCTCTCTCTCGGGCGATTCTTCCAACACGCTCCTCCCGAATTCCTCCTCCTCCAGGAGCTCCTTCGATTCCTCCTCGTGCTCCAAGACCGTTCCATCGTGTCTTCCCAGGTCCAAATCTCTCTCGCAGTGGCAGCAGCAGCACCCGCCGCGGCGGAGCTCCAGCACCAAGGATCCAGCGTTCGCGCGATTCGCCGCTCCCGATTCGGGGATGGATTCTCCTCCGCGCGGAACTGCCAGGCAAATGCCGCCGGGTCCTATCAGAGTCCCCTGGTATCGGCATCCGCCACGCCCGTGGCTCATCACGTTGACAGGGATCATCGCGGCGCCAGGAATCCCCATCACCACAGCGGCGGCGGCGGCAAGCTCTCCTGGATCTCCTCCCTCTTTGGGCTGCGCAAGAGGAAGAAGAAATCCAGCCACAACGGCGCCGTGGAGACGAATTTCTTCCCTCCCGAGGCCTGGAACGACGATTTCCACCACCGCGGCGCGCACGCCGATTGCGATCGCCTGTGGCGCAGCCGATCGGTCTCCTCCGGGCGCGTGATCAAGACGAGCTTCACTCCTCTAGGGGATCCTCCACTCGACCATCCCGGCACGCCCACTGGAATCGACCCCGCGACCTCCTCCTTGGAGCCCCCGAGGGCGTCGGCGCCGGGAATCGAACCCCGGGTGGCCTCGCTCATCGCGCTGGACATGAGGGAGGTGATTACCAACGCGGCGTATGACGTGGAGGGCAGCGGGGGTCGAGGTCCAGCGTGGCGTCCTTGATGGACATCGACCGCAAGTGCGCGGCCGCCACGTGTGCCAGCCCGTGACACGGAACGAATCGCCGTCGTCCGTGCTGGCAAATCCGACGGCCCATGTTAGCGGTAACGGTAACAGTGACTGGGGATTCTAACTCCGCTGAGGAGGGACGCTGAGATTAAACGCAAAAAATACGCGAGATCGGATCAAACAGTGACTTGGATCAATCGTGTCGAGGCTTACTTCGCATTTAGGATTGATGGCTCTAATGTAATTCTTCTTTTTTTCGTTTTGTGAAGCTTCACACTGGAAGAGATTTGAGAAAAGTTTGAGATTAATGATGGAAGAACAAAAACAAAGCTGTACAGATTGAGCCCCATTAAGGAGATTTTTGTGGAGTACAAGCCAGGACTACCCACCGGTGTGTGATATAAGATTTTCTCACATTCTGTAACTTCTCTCTTTCCTCTCTCTGGGATTCACTCATTCAAAAGAGACGATGGAGTGATTTGCTCTTTTGGGGTGTCTTAAAATCTCTCAAAGTTGGCGATGTTGGCACACCAACCAGTGTATATAATGTGTCATAAACCTTTGGGGTGGATGGAACATGTGCAAGTGAGAGATTCGCGATTGCACGGATTTTTTTTCTTTGGTTTCGAGGATTACACTAGATTACTGAGCCTGGAATGTTTGCTTCACTGTTTAAATCGCTGACAAGGACCAACTGCTGTCGCTTATTTTTGCAGTCTTTAATCCCAAGATAAAGACCATCACCACCACCTTGAATACAAAATAGAATCCTTTGTGAGATTTTTTGGGAGACAGTTAGTTCACGCAAACACTGAAGTGCTGGTAATGGATTCATGTGGAGGATTCAAGTTGCTTGAGGAAACTACCAAAGAAAGATCCATGAATTTGTATCCAGAGGGTGTCCAGAAGAGAAGCTCCTCGAGCAGTGGAAGAAAAAGAGGCGGCTAAAGTCATGGAGCACCAAACTAAAACGTACTCGATTCATGGGTCACCGTCGCAGCAAAAAATCGTATACAATCGCAGGCGCTAAGTCGGCGCCACAAGTGGAAAAACTCGATCAGAACAACGACTTTGCATATAAACGTAAGAGTTTGCTCTTGATTGTGAACATCACCCCAGCAACATGAAATCTCCCTTCTCTCCTCTCCTCGTTGCAACTCTGGCGATCTTCTTTTGTGATGCTTTGGTTGTTCTTCGAGCAAGCCAGCAGAGTGACCTTGTCGACGCACACAACGCAGCTCGATCGGCTGTGAATGTCTCGGGGCTGGTTTGGAACGATACAGTGGCCGCGTTTGCATCAAGCTGGGCGGCAACTCTCCGGGATCAAAACAACTGCGCGCTGATCCACTCGGGTGGGAGATATGGCGAGAATCTGTGGAAGTGGTGGGGAAGTCCCGGCTTGCCTGCTCCTCCCGCCACTGACGCTGTGGCTGCCTGGGTGAACGAGCGAGCCGACTACAACTATGCGTCAAACACTTGCGCGGCGGGGAAGGTCTGTGGACACTACACGCAGGTTGTGTGGAAGAACTCTGTTCGAGTTGGATGCGCTTATGTCCAGTGCAATGGTATGAATGCTTACCTTGTTAGTTGCAACTATGATCCACCAGGAAATTATATAGGCCAGAAACCATATTGACATGGTTTATGTGAAAGAATTAGTAAATATTCAATTCATAACACAATTTGTCAAGGTCAATAACATGGTAAGTCCACCAATCCGGGAGGGGGGGGGTATATTGATCCAGTCATAATCCTCTCTGGATTGAACGAATGGGCTTTTGGACTCGAAGTGGTGTATCGGTGGGAACTCTGGCGAGCGAATTCCCAGAGTGTAACCATTATTTGACTTCCACTGACTTTTTTTTATCAAAAGTGTATTTGGAGGATTTATTACATCTACGAGCGTCATCGGCGCAAGACTGATGAAACAGAGGTTACATTCTCAAATTCAACTGTAGATCAACAACAGTAGGTAGATAGATAGATTCATGGCATGATGCCAAGTTTCTAGTTCTTGGTAGGCTCGAGTGCGAAACCAATCCCGCGCATGTAGTCCGAGGTGAATCCATACAAGCCCACGATCTCGCTCGCGTCCGGCGTCTGGAAGCTCTTCTGGCCGCTCATCGCATGCCCGCCGTAGGGGCCGTACGTGACGCTCTTGCCGGTGATGTTGTTGTACGTGACGAACGACAGCTCCGTCACCGTGACACCCTGGTTCTTCTCGCTGCTGTACGGCCCGTACTTGCCAGTGGCGCGCACGAACCTCTCCGACGGATAGGCGAGTTGGATCTGCGTCATGGAATGGAATGATTGAAATTAGAAACGGTCATTTTGGTTCTTTTGGGCCACTGACCTCTGTGAATTGCGTGGTTGTGCCGTGGTTAGGCATCCAGGTTGAAGAGCTGCCGGTGGTGTATTGTCCCTGGATGCCGTCGATCACCCAGCCGTAGCGTACGCGGATTCCGGTGAGAGTTTTGATCGCCGAGGAAGAACTCGTGTCGTTGAATCTCACACCCGCGTTGGTGCCGTAGAGCGGAGACCAGGAGCGCGCTTCCACCGCGACGACGACAAGCTACGAGAAAACAACAAAATTCATCACTGGGAATGGATCGAAGAAACATCAATGGAGTGGAGTAATGAGCTAATCTGTATACCAGGAGAACAACGAAGGATCTCAACAATGCACCCATTGCACAGCTCTGAAACTCTCTCCCTTGCTATAATCGACTGCTACCAAGAGAAGAAGAAACTCCTTGTGTAGACGGGAAATGTTGTGCAGCCTTTGCTTTGTCTATGATCATACAGCCTTCTTGGACAGAAACATGCAAACAAGAGTCCCGTGAAGGAATATGGTATATGAACTGCACGAACTCTGTTGTAAAACAGCTTTCAGATGGAATGCCACAGTCATGTCAGCCTTAGTAGTATTAATGATATTAGGATCGGATTAATGTATTATCATGACAATATGTTTCCTATAATCAGTTGTTTAGGATTCTGAGTGTCTCAATGTTTCGCGTCCCAAGGTGGTTCTTGTAGAAGCTGTCCATGTACTCTCTGAACAAGCATGCTTTGAACATGGGAGGATTGTCACCTAGCAACTCCTCCAGTGGGGCAATATGTTTATCATCTGTAGGACCATAAAATGAAGCAATTGAAACTCGTGGCTTCTTAGTGTTCACTAGAACTCAATGCTCCGTACTCTTATATTTATTGTTGCTTAGTATCTGTAAGAGGGAAACTAAGAGCTCATAGAAAATGTCATCAAATTATTTCACCTGGAGCATGTCTGCTACATTAATGACTAATGCGCCTTCAACTGGCTTCACAGGAATCCATTGGCCATTGTAGTTAACCTCAAGGCCCTCAACTCCAAGTTCTTGTTGTAATACCGTTATGGTTCCTGGATCAGCATGACAACCTATACCAATTGCTTGATCAGGGCATGGACACTGTGGATAATATGTCATCTTCATGGTTTGCTTGGGAGGATCCAAGTGTCTCTCCAGGATCTGCCAATCTAGACCAAGGTTTTGAGCAATAATTCGCAATAGTTTTCTGGCAAGTTTGTCCACAGCCTTGGCGTAATTGCTTGTAATTTTCCTTTGTTATAATTAATATATAGTGTTAAAACAGAGAAAAAAAAAAGAGATCTGTTAAAGGAAAGTTTGTACTTGTAATTTGGAATACATTCTGGTACATCATCCTCGTGAACTGCTGGCCTACAGTGCTGGAACAAATAGTCGGTTCAAAACTTTTTACTTGCATTTGCTATGAAAATTGATAATCTTTTATGATAGTTAATTGTTCTTTTATGGTTTTTGGCTTTTCGCATTACCACATGTTCTTTGTGGTTTACTTTGGATTAGTATTTTAGGTTTGAGATATCGGTAAGATGTGGATCCTGTGGAGAATTTGAAGCTCTTATAGATATCTATTGAATAGTAAACCATCATTTCCTTGGCAAGCAAGTTAAAAAAGTAATGAACCATTTTGATAATGTCTTGGCCAATGACCTGACTAAAACAATTGCAAAGTATTTCAGAAGAGATTTATTTACTTGGAAAAAACCCCATTTTTGGCAAGCTAGATGAATTTCTTCAGCTGCTGATTTTCTTTTCAAATCATCACTATCTATGCCACTTAAGTCAATAATTGGGAGGTTGTTTGGAGCTTTGATAGTTATGCCTTTGCATATGGATGTCAAATATTCATTTGGTACATGATCTATACCCAAATCCACCATTGCTCTCACACCAGCCATAATATTTTCCAAATAACCTGTTTCAGAAAACACAGAACATTGTTATATTCACCTATTCTTGGGGTACTTACAAAATGTATGGCGAGATTACCAATAAAATGTAAAAGTTATAGATTTACAATTTATTTAAACTAAAGGGCAAATTTACAACCTTATCAAGTTGGCAAAAAGCTCATATGAAGCAGAATGTTCTTTTTCTAGTCCGATTATTTCCCTAGCAACCGAAGCTCCATGTTGAGCATCATTTTTACTTCGGCTTGCTCCAAACAAGCACCTCCACTGAATCGAATCTGGTACATATGGCATGTTAGCCACAAGATCTTGCGCATTTTCTAAATGCCCGGCTCGCCCAAAGACATCGATCATGCAGCAATAGTGCTGCTTGCTCGGTTGAAACCCAAAATCAAGACTCATCGACACGAAGAGCGATTTTGCAGTGGAAACCTTCCCTCCGCAATGAGGATCGATACAAAACACACCTTGTCAATTGATCCCGCCATCTTCATCTCGTCAAAAACAACAAAAGCTTCCAAGTAGAGCCCGTTTTGAACAAGAGCGGCAAGCATAGCGCTCCAGCAGATGGTGTCCCGTTCGGGAAGCGACTCAAACAGCCTTTCGGAATGCCTGACGTGACCTCGCAGTCCACGGAACCACGTCGCGTTCCAGCATGTCGTCGAACAAAACCTTGGACTCTCGCAGCTGC